CAGAGTTACAGCTGCTGATATTACCACAAAAGCATGCTTTTACTGATTCGTCTTCCTCTTCCTTCCACAGCTGCAGAAATGCAAGCTCATTTTTAGGCTTTTTATGTACATTGCCAGTTTACCATTCCAATCATTCATATTTGTGCAACACCCCCATCATGGTACTGGGATTACCACAACGTCACAGTTTAAATGAGGCTTGTGGAGCTATAGAATTGAAACTATATTTTGTATGCATAACTAAACGGATACATGACATGGAAATAAACCAGCTCTACTGAAATAGAACAAATTAACTGCTCTGATGCAACAGTTAAGCATCCTGTGATTTATAAAATGAAACATGTTTAAAGCAAAATTTGTTTTAGAAAACAGGATGTGCAATATTGTAAAGTAGCATGTTCAAAGGATCATTTTTAGAATATTAAGGAAATGTACTAATCCAATCAAGTTCTCAAAAGAATTCCTGGCACCAAAATGTTATCCTCTGCTTTCTTTTCCATGATCTTGTAAGAATGGATCACTCAGGGGGAAGAAAATCATGTATGCAGAACACTGCATGAAGCTAAACAATTCTTAGATATAGTTAATTTCCATGAGGAGATGATGTTTTAGCATGGTCATCTTTCACCAGAGGAGACACAACTGCATCTCTTTAGTTCACTTATTTAAGATGAAGAAAGTGAGGAGCAGAAATTCAAGCCTGCTTTTATTTACTTCAGTGACAAAATTCTTGCCATGACTTTAGCAGGAGTGAGGACGCATCTTCATTCAATGTGAAGGAGGAAAATATCAACTAAGAATAGTGCTCTTGTTTATTAGATTTAAATTACTGCCATAGCTGTTTATAAGAGAGTTAAGTAAATCCTGTTTTAAAAGCCAAAGCTTGCCTTCACTCTTGCCTTTTCCTACTCTATAGGAAAAATTTCTTCACTAGGAGGATTGTCAAGCACTGGAACAGGCTGTCCAAGGAAGTGGTGGAGTCACCATCCCTGGAGGTATTTAAAAGACGTGGACATGTGGTGCTTAAGAACATGATCTCGTGGTAGAATTGACATTGCTAGGTTAATGGTTTGACTCAAGGATCTTAAAGGTCTTTTCCAACTTAAATGATTCTATCATTCTTTGAGTGCACAGACTACTTCAGGATGTCCATGAAAAGCAACAAAATAAAGTCAATCTATAGTCTTAAGTTTGCAGTAAAGAGTCTGGATTTCTACTGGAAAATTTTAGAAGGGCCATAAATTCAAAGAGATCTAATTTTTTTATGTTTTTTTTTTCCTAAATGGCAATCAACCTTTTGGTCTAGTTATTCTCTGTCTCTCCCTATAAAGTAAAACCTAGAAATGCACACATAAAATCAGTATAAATGTACCAGCCAATAATTTCACAAAGACTACTACCCAAAATATAGCTAGAAATAAGACTATTTACATAACTTGAATTAAGCAACATTCATATGTATGAATTACAGCACAAGTCCTCCCCTTCTTCAGTAATGGAACTGATGACAAACTGTAAATGGAAGTATTGAATGAAACCGAGATACAAACATCTTCTGCTTTTGCTGTAGAGGCAGAAATAAGGATGTTAAATGAGGTAGCAAAGAGTAATATTAGGGAAGCTGAACGTCACTTTCATGCTTGTGGAGTTCTGCAGTTTGAATTACAATCACAGGGTAACTCTGCACACGTAAGAATGAATGATAAATATCCATTGTTGCTCTGAGACTGAATGTAGTGTTATACAATGACTATTAAAATCCAGACTATTACTCAAAAAACAGGCCCTAGTTTTGTAAATATGGTAGTCTTCTATTAGAAGACAGATTGTTTACCTTCTCCTAATATTAAAGCTATAACATAATAATAAAACTCGTAAAACTTGTGTCTAAGAGATATAGGTTAATTAAGGTCTATGAATGAGAAGCATCATGAGAACAGTGATAATTTCTGGGATATAAGTAACATGTGCCAATATGTAAAAAATAAAGTATATGAAGAATATAGAAATATAGAAATATTTATAGACTATAAATGAAGAATATAGAAATAAGTATTGAAGAATTATTCCATTAATGAATAGAGGAAAATACGTGAACAAAGGATGAGGTGTGTAATTAAAGATCATAGTGTATTATATTAACAGAGACAGAGTATACATGACTTTTCCTCTGTGTTACAAGATATTTTAAATTACTTGTGTGCATTTCTACTTTCATGTGTGTATGATTTTTTAGAATTGGTAGAAAAAACAAAGTCCATCATACGGTATCATGTTGATACCCAAATCATTCACTAGGCTATCGGTATCTTAACATTTTGAACATATATTTCCACCCTTTAAGCTGTCTCGCAGAAGATGAAAACCTCTAACTGCCACGCAGACACGCTCTAAAATTTTAATTGCTGTCTGAAGGCACAGGCCTTGTGACACCCTATGTTTTACTAAAGCACTCTTAGACACTTCTTTTAGCTACTCCACCCTGCTCCTTCTCCCTCTCCCTCTATCCACCACTGACTTCTTTCATTCTCTCTCAATTTTCTCCTTTTCCGAGCTCCCTCTTCTCCTTTGTCTCTTTTTGTCCCCTACACTTCTTCATCGTCAGCATTCATCACTTGGCATTCCCTTTTTTCTCCTTACTGTCAGGGCATGAGAAGAAGCAGTTTCCAGCAGTTTCCAGGTGTGCTGGGCTGCAGCTGAGAGATGAGTAACTGCAGGGGCAAGTCCTGCTTGCTTCCAGCTCTTCTGCCTGAGGAAACACTTAGTCGTTCTGGGAAGATGGAGCTATGCCACCCCATAAGCACAATGCACCTAGAGAATGATGAAGCCTTCCCTTCAATGACCACATCTTTAGCAGCCAGATGAACACACATGTGTGACCAGGTTTTCAGAGCTTCCCAACGTGGCCACTTTGGTCAGTTTTCCACAAAGAAGGAAAACCGCCCTATATTAGCCTCTTCATGGTATTTTAAGTCTTAATTCTAAAGAATGGCGATGTCAAGACTTGTCAATGACATAGCTGTAACATTTTTATGAGAACTGGCAAGACAGTTCATTTCTCCTACACCATTTTCTCAGAAGCCTTGGAGTTATTTTGGCTGGAGTACTCGGTGGTGAGGGAAGGTAGGCTTAATTCAGACAACTATATTAAATAGTCAAGACATCTTGCATGCTGTTATCAATAAGAAAAACACAATTCAGTTATGACAAGCACTACCTTCACCATTTACAATGCAAATGTGTGAAAATAAAGCACTGTTTTTTTCTTGTTCCCCGTGGAAAAAGAAAAATACACACCACCACTACCCTCTCTCCTCCCAGAAAAACAAGAAAAGGCTCAATAAAGTTGGATAATTTTCTTTCCTTTGGCTTTTCAGTTCACTCACCTCTCTACAAATTCAGATTTATGTGCCATTTTTATCTGTTGTTGCTTTTTTTTCCCCTACAGGGATATAGGTGGATAAGTTTGGATAGGAAACTGTATCCCTCAAGCCAAACTGAAAGGTTTATAAAGTTGCTAATAAAAGTTTGGGTCAGGGCCTAAATATCAATCATCTGCTCATTGTCTTTTTAAACGAGCTCAGGCATTTTCCCAACCACTCCCTGCAGGTCTCTGCCACTATTTTAATCTACGATTTCAGCGAATTATTTTTTTTCCTGTGTTGACCTCAATAATTTTTTTCTCTCCCCCTCCTTACCTGCCAAATGCATCATCAGGATTTTGCCAAAGGCTAGGTGCTTTTGAAGTCAGGAGGAATTCACTAATTGCAAGCGTCAAATCCACAATAAATGCCAACACCATATGTTATATGCTGCTTTTGGGAATTATCTCAAAAGGCCTAGCTGTGAGATATCTGCATATATGTTGAGGGGGTTTATTGCTAACTTTCATAACTCATGTCAGGTCTTTCAGTTTCTGTGTTCATTGGCTTAAGTGAGTGCAACTGTTCCCTGAATTTATAAAAATGTTGTCAAGATCCCTTGATCTCTCTTCCTCTGTCTCTCTCGCACAAACACATCCAAACACACACATACACAGGGGGATAGCACACACAGTGGCTTACAAATCTAACAAAAGAGAAGCTGGTAAATAAACAGCGTGTCATTGCGCTTATTCAATAAATTCCTGCGTGTGTTAAACTCATGATAAATATATCATAAGCTCTGATGAAGGCTTTATAGCCTCCTGTCCCATCACACCATCCTCAGTGTAATTCTGTAACGCGTACTAAAGCCTAGTTTTGAAAAAGTGAGAGCAGAATTAGCTCCCATATGGGCAGAGTGCTGACAAAACTGAAAAATAGCTAACTGGAGAGCATTTGCTTTAGCTAAAGAAGACAATATCAAAGTGACGTGTCTCTGTGCCTTCTAAAAACTGTGGAAATATACTGTACAGTTAAAACAAGAAGAAACCTATCTTCTTTCAGAATTTATCTAATAAAGAATTAAAAAATTAATTTTTGTTTAAATCCCTTATCCTGTAACATTCTCAACAAGTACATGTAAGGTTAAGAAAGTCCTCAGAAAAACACGCTTTTGTGATTCAAATAGGTAAGAAGAAAGAAAACAACATTTCAAGAGTTTTACATGTCAGCTTGGTGATAGAGAAAAAATAACATCGCAAAATAAAATCACTGCCATTTAAAACACTTGGAGTAGGTCTCTCCTCTTAGAATGGTGTGTCCTCTATGTCCTATGTCATCCCCACCAGTCACATGGGAATGTCTCCAACGGTGCTAGAAGCATATGTCTAAGCAATGACTCTTTCCTAATTAATGTATGGTATATTAATGTCCTCTAGGAGCAAACTGAAATAGTAATTTTAAAAGGCACTGTGGCTACGCAGAGTTCATTAATCTTTAAGGCTTCTGTCACGTTTCTGGAAATTGCAGGGACAACTGCATTTCATTTTCCTGATTAATAATACAAATGAACTGCTGGCAACATCACATCAAAACAAAAGTGGCAGAAATCAGAAAAAGTGCTGAAAAGTTTACCTTTATAGGAAAGCTTAAGTCTTGGAATAGTTTGTTTTGACGTTCCAGTGACTGGAAGGAACAGCATCACTAAAGATAACAGGCTGCAGGCATGTGGTACTTGGGAAGGTCTCATTCTGCTCTCTTCTGTATCTTCTTTAGCACTATGGTGAAATATGTTCCCGCTTTTCAAACAATCCAAATTTAATCTGGAAGTAAAAATAAAACATCTGTAGAAATTTTTGCATTATTGCATAAATAATAATAATGAAAGCAAGCCAAACCTATCTCAAAAGAGTAGTTCATTTAACACATTGCTACAAAAGTATTTTTTTCCTCTAGTATAAATCAAAATGATGTAAATCTGCTTCTTTAATACTACATTTACACACTCACAGGTTGGAAAAATATGTAAACTTTTCAAACACCAATGTCTAGCATAACTAAAGTTTAAGCACAAATTAAATTACTACCACATCCATGAAAAGAACATTTCCTATTCCAAAGTGGCCATGCAACTCACTAGTTCATACCCCTCCATTGGATATCTTAATGTTTTATAACTCTTTCTTTATCTCGGTACAACAGCTATAGTATGTTTATGCTATGACTAGAATAAACTGTAATATCTCGGATACCATGGACATAAAGCTAAGTTAACAGTGAGTACATACCCATCATAAACTTTCATAAATAAACTAAGAAAACTGGATAGAACAAGCAGTCGTGTTTAGTTTTAATAGAGAAAAAAGTCAATTCAGCTGATGGATTTAAATGTGCTTTCAGTATGATATTTCCAGCAGAATAACTGCTTCGATTCACCCACCAAAATGTCCTGTAAACTTTAATGAGTGGTTCATGCTGAGGTCAGTAGGCTGATACAGGACTTTGTTAGCACAGTGTGCAACTAAGCCAGCTTTGCAATACTTTTCACTTAATAGCAATCATTCATATTACATACATCTTAAACTGTTTTACAAATGACAGCAATCATCACTATCCTTGTTTTGCCTATGCAAAAATGGAATCATAAAACTCCAGTGAACCTGCTTCCTCAAGGTCATTCTGCTACCCCAATAGTTGAACAGAAAGCAGCAGCAAGTCCTGGTGTCCTGTTTATACCCAGTTAAAAGCGATCAGTTTTGCCCAGTAACTCCCCTTTTGCATATGAAATTATTTGAAATGACATCCTGAGGTCTGAAGTCAGAATCAGATGGTTATTAAATCACACAGAGAGAGTGAGACCAGATCCTTCCCCTGCAAGTGCATGATACCAGAGGTCAAGGGAGATAGTTCATGAAATGACAAATGTCAGTGTTTGAGCAACGCTCTAAATCAAGACGTAAGGAAATGTTATGGTTAGCAGTGAGATTAAAGGCTCCTGACTTGCCATGAAAATTCTTTTCTGAAAAGTACTGAAACCGTCTGATTAAAGGAGTAATCTTAGTGCCCACATCCGCCAGCACTTTCACGGACATCACAGGAAAGGCTTCCTAGGAGCTCATGAGAGATGCTGTACAGCTCATGGCCCCGGAGCCTCTCCATCAGTCTGGGATGTGAGCTCCCTGCAGCCCTGGGGCCAGAGCAGCTCTGCCAGCTGTGGAAGCATCCAGAAGCAACTTAAGCACCTCATGATGGAGGCAGCATATTCTTCCTGGCATGAAGGGTCTGGGAAGAGGACCTCTTCAGTATTTTCTGCCAGAGGAAATCTCTCTCAGATAAAGCTGGGGCTTTCTGAGGATCCAGACCTTTTGTCAATAGCCAAAGACCAGGGAGTATGCAGGAAGGGCGTGACAGGGAAAAAGAGAGAGGGAAACAATTTGTAAAATGCCTGAAGCATCCTTCCTATTGCAGAACATTGAGCTTCTTTCTTCTCAATCCCTGCCTCAACACTCACATTCAGTGTCTGAACACACCACTTCTGGCCAAGTGCCACTACATCTTCAGGGAATGACACAGAAAGAAAACAAAACAAACATGAAGTGCCTCTGGATCATCTTTCCCTTCCTTTTATTAGAGTATAGGGTCCTGAGAGAAGGCCCTTGCTTCTTCCATGGTTATATATCTGTTTGTTGTTCGTCTAAGAAGGACTGCTGCTGACTAGACTATCACAAGGTTATATCACTTTCAAGAAATCTACTCTAGGAAAAAGAAGGGGAAAAGAAGGGGAGGGAGGAGGGGGAAAACTATATTAAGACAAGAGACACTAGACTTGCTCATCTTCAGTGGGACGATAGAGACAAGCCATACTTCAAAATGAAGCAATTAAGAGGAACAATTCTCACTACAAAAACACTGAGAAGTCATGGCTTGAGGGTCTGGGCTTCAGCCAATAGGGATCTCACCAGAGAATTTGGGGCTCATTTTCTTGAGGCAAAGTACAGTGAGGAGTCAGGCCTAAATTTTCCACTTATAGAAAAAAAAAATTTGCCTGAATGCACTGTCATGTGCTTAACTGATTGATGACCAGCACCAAACTTGGCCCTTTGGCCGTACCTCACAGCTTCATTTTTTCATGTAGCGTTCTTTTCCTTTTCTTTCCCTTTCCCCTTTTATTTGAATAATGTCTGTGAAAAACCATTTGCTTCAGTTCCTGACACGAGGCGGTTAGTTTACACTGGAGGCAGCTGCTTTGTGAGCTTGAGCCAACCTGTCTTGTCCTAGATTCATTGCAATCTGGCCAGATTGTCTCATATATTTTTAGTTTATGATGATCTCCTAATGCAATTCTAGCCTCTACGCAAAGTCCTTCCAGCAGGCCAATGAGTAGCTCAGGTTAATGAACTTCAGACCAACTAACTGGCCATTAATCTTCAGGAAATATCCTTCCTCTCTGTAACATATGTAATGTCAATTGGTGTCCTGTGCTGAAAAGAGCCATAGTGACACTGCTCACAAGTAATCAGAGACATAAACAGATCTAAAATATAAAACCTAAAAGCAAAACTAACTCCCTCATTCTTTCCTCCTGTCAGAAAAGCTTTGTCAGGGGAGGAAAAATTATTGTTTCCTTTAGTTCTTCGATACTTCTGCTAAGCACTAGCACACCCCAAAACTTCCTCATCATGAATAGTCTCAAAATAAATGAAGAAAGAGAGTTTGAAAAGAAAAATGCTGAGCTAATGCTGCTTTCTCACCTTGACTTCAGTTAGGAAATATCTGCACTTCATTATCACCTGGAAGAATGAGTTGGTGAGGAAGCTATGCATACACCTCACTGAAACAGGGGTATTTCCAGTGGAATAAATGAGTTTTAATTTGCCCCATGGGGAGGTGGGAGACATGATGCTGAAATGGGGCTGAGGAGCCTGGCTCCATCCTGCCAGGAGCTCCTGGCAGGGCTCGTAAATTCATAACGGGCTGTACTGCCAAAAGTCAAAAGGTTGATCTGCTGGTGTCCTGCCATCTTTCCAAAAAAGTCAGCTGGACGTAACTGGCACATGCATGATGTCACATCGCTGAAATGAGGTGTCACCTCCCTGCAATTGGTCAGATTTAGTAGAGCCTATAAAAAAGATTACTCTGAAGCTACTGTCTGAAATAGTAAAACCTGGAGCCAATTTACTAAACATAATTTATTCCAGGCTCGTTGTTGCAATAAACAGAGCTCTTCAGCCTTCTGAAACACACAGACAGTAGGAAGCTCTGTGATTATAGGATTCTTTTCACATCATTCAGCTTAAACCTATCTTACTGCAAAATCTTGCATTCACAAACACTGTAGGTTTCTGACTTCTCCTGGCGTCATGAAGTCCAGCGCTGTAAGAATTGTGACCCATCTGCAAACAACAGTTCATGAAACTCTTAGTTTAATTCCATACAGAAGACCTATACGGAATTGGAGGATAATTTAAAACCTCTTTCTAGCACTAGTTTTTCCAGGCCATTTTAAAATTTGGAATTTTGTCCTGTAGTTAAGAGAACAATGAAAACAGTCTGCAGCAACCAGAGAAAACATGATTAACTAAATGGTATGGCTCAGTTATTCTGAATCTAACAGTAATGTTATAAATTGCAACTACTGAAAATCTAGAGCAACTTTTGACTTAGTTTATGTTGCTTAAAAAAATTAGACTAGAGTAGACTAGATTAGACTAGACTAGAATAGAAAAAAGAAAACTGTGTGATAGTCACTATGGACTTATAGGTAAACTGAGTAAGCTACCTGGGCCATTCAGTCTCATTATGTACACTACTATCTCTAATGCCAGAGTTTTTCTTTCTTGTCATCTATCCCTGTCTGAGATCTTGCTGGTTTATTTTATTTTACCAACCAAACAGCATGAGTGGCTTGTTAAATAAACATATTGCTTTACAAGACTAAATAGCTACAAAAGGAAACAAAAAATACCCCATCCACAACTCAAATTTATTGAAAGGTACGTTGGCTCTTTACTCATATTTTATCTATACTTTATATATATACATATAAGTTTAAAGCATTTTACTTTAGCTATAACTATACAGGCATATGTTTCCAATGCATTTATCTGTAGTAGTCTCACCTATAAACTATCATACATATTCCTAAATAAAAAATACCATGGCTGTCTTCTGTGTAGTTCAAAACTATTTTATAATCATGAACTGAGTATTGAATATTCTGTGTTAATAAGAGGGAAAACTACAAGCATATGTGAGTCAGGCTGATAGCTCATAAAATAAAATTATATCTCCAGACTCACTTAACATTCTTAACTTACTTCTTAAATAACAAGTACGACATTCATCCAAAGCACAATGAAACTATGTTCTTGTACCCCTTAGATAGACTGTCTGTTGATATTGGCAGAGGAGGCTTTTCTCTTCATTGTGAAATCTCAGTTAAATCTAACTCAACCCAAGAACTGGTAAACAGTATTATTCATCACTATTATCCCATTTATTAAGTAGCTTTTGTACTGTTTATAGTGAAGCAAATGCTCTCTTCCAGGATTCTGAAAAATACTTCTTTATACAAAAAAAGCCAGTTCAGTATTACATCACTTCCCAACACTAGCAAACCTTATTGAATAGAAAGAAGATGATATAATAAAAAAAAATTACATAAGGCTATAGTAGGTGATATTTGTTTCATTTTGTTTTGTTTGCTTAAATCATTGCGTTTAGTATATCTGGTTTAGATTAGGTTTTACCGTAAAGCAGATCTTGCTATTGTTAATATCCAGATGAATAGTAAAGACTCATAGGAAGCACAGGCCAGCTT